GGGAAACGCACAGGCCTAAAACTTGGAGAAGTGTCTTATTTAGTTATCTTCTATAACATCATAATTTCATAGCTTTTTCCAAAGGATGGTTTTCGATTTGTTTTTTTATTGCGTGACAGTGAAAACGATCTATACTTTCATGTTTTCGTAGCTAAACCGATAGAGGTCACAAACGTCTAACGCCGAACGCCTGACCTGAAACTGCCGTTTGCAGTTTGCCGTTGACATGAAAACGCTGGCGCTAAATGTCTCTTAGCCAATCCTGAAATTGGAGAATGAGTCAAGGAAGGAAAAAACCTGAGAATTTTGAATTTAGTTATGTACGAGTTTGCGAGCTCGGAGAATTAAGGAAATGACTAAGGAATTTCCTTTTTGAACATGGGCTCCTGAAATTAGTTTGTGGAATAGTTATCACTACTGAGATAGAAAATCAGGGACCACACGAAGAAAGTAAAATAATTCAAAACCAGGGTCTCTAGATTATGTTTTGTTTCTCAGTGTTGTTACAATGCCGGCCAGACGGGAGCAGGTCATAATTCTGGGAAGAGAGTTACGAATGGTACTATTGCAATGCAGTGTTTACCACTTGTGACGTCATCAATTTAAATGTCATCAGATATTCTTGATAAGCAGATAGTAGTGCTAGGCTAGGCCTTTCCGCTCAATGGTCAGGTTTAGATATCGACGACGTTCCGATGTCGCAAATCGAAAAATAACGTTATCAGTTTTGGTGCAAAAACGGTGGTAAAATGGTCCACTACGCCTATCATTGATCAAGGTCCATTTCTGGGCTTCGCCCGTAATTAACATCCAACTTTTCACGGCAGCCAGAAAGAACATACAATGCAAAAAGGTAGCCAGTGTAAAAGGGCCGAGAAAAATAGAAAGGAAAGGGGCAACGAACGAAATTGAGAACGGTTAATGGCAAAAAAAAGTCCAAATTTTGGCTTATGCGCATGCCCGGAATTGAAATTTTGCTCAATTTTGTACCTAATCCTCGAAAAATCTCTCCTTTTAGTAAAAAAAAAAGCTTTCTTAGCAAAACTTAGGCTCATTTAGCGTCATGGCAGCTAAAAAAAACCTGACTAAACGGTTAAAAACGGTATTTTGGGGCGAAAGTTTGGTATTCAAAGAGTTAAACCATGTCTAACTTTTTAGAACATCTCAGTCGCGGAACCATTTCAATGTTGGGTTGGAATTTCTGAAGTGCTTTCTCAGCGTGGTCCAGAAATGTTCGAATAACAAGTGGACAAAAACCTTTTACTGAGGTTGTTTACGTTGTCTTGCAAACTTCTATGCCACTGTTTTAAATATCTTCTCAAATGAAAACATTTCTAACAACACCAAATGTCGAAAACAAACTTTGAACTTCAACATATCAAACACTCGAAAGTACTGGTGAAATGAAGTTTTTGATGACATTTTACCTGTGTTTGCACCATTTCTGTGAACTTTGAAATTTTTGATGTTATTTCAGGCAACTATTTATATCTTAAACTTTTAGAAAAAGCAAAAAGGACTGTATAAACATACTAAAAGTTATTCTGGTATCAATTAAAAAATGAAAACGCTCGATTTCGTATCGGATTTCGTCTTAAACTTCTATACGTGTTCGCAAAGCGCGGGATTTTGGCACTGCATGCTGTACAACAGTATTATTCAACTCGAAGTGACTATCAGTATCACGAGCGGGTTAAACGCTGACAACTGTCAATGCATATGGCTTTTGAGAAAACTTGAGCAGGTTCACTTAAGAAATGGTAAGCGTGCAGCGTGCAACTATCGAGTTATGGATGCACGCGGGAGGTTGCTTACCATGAATGAAACGTAAGAGTCGCACGAGGCGATAGCTTGAGTCGCACGAGGCTGTCGCACGAGACTCTCACGCTTCTTTCGTGCTTAGCAACCTCCCGTGTGCATCCACGCTTACCATTTCTTAACGCAGGGTCACAAAAAGGAGTGCGCGACGAGAGAAAAGAATCTCTACGTGGAAAGGAGACTCGTTCAAAGTTGATGACCTTGAAGCACATAATCACTGATAACAGTTTCAGATAGACTGAAAGCAAGACTGAGCGAGTCTACGAACTGAAGTATAGAAGTGATCTTGTAAAAATTAGACCGTGAACAGAAATAATTGAACAACTCCAGTGTGATCAATTTATTATTTCTCCGTATACTCGATAGAATTTAACACTTGTCACGAGGTGTTCAGGCAAATTCTATTGGAAATCAAATCAAAAAGTCATGATATTTTAAAGGAAATTTTGGTTTGTAATTGTGGACTGCAGGAAAGGTCGGAAAATCCTGTAACTAATATACCTCGTTGTTTTGAGTTCCCATTTCTAGTCTCCTTTAAAAGGATAAGAAAGTATAAGCACGCAAATTTGGGGAATCTAACTCTTAAAGAGAACTGCTTGGCTTACGGGAAGGGAACTCGTCACGATTTCTTGGTTCACGGGGATCTACCTCAATTGTCTTCTCTGCGGACGTCAAGGAACGGACATAACTTGGTCCAACAGTAGTTTATTCCGCCAACTGTGTAATCAAGGATGTAATCGATTATGTAATCGGAAAACGTTTGCTTACATATGATTGTTATGTACAAAGTACAAGGAAGATACTTTGATCTTTTGGTTCAAGTTATGTTGCTAGCTGAGTAAATACACCCAGAGGTTCAATGTAAAATGAATGTATCCAAGAAAATGAAGCGGTGAATTTAGCAAAAAAAGATGGAGACTTGCATAGAATTATACTAAAAAGTACTGGTTTTAAGTAAAGCCTTTAACTGACAAAAGGTTGGCTGGCTGGTTACGGTTTGTGGTGAAAAAGGGTTGACAGCTATTTCCAAATATTTAGACATTATGTAATAGTCCTGTTTACGTTCTCTGACATACAGATCCTCTTAATTGAAAACCATCAGTGAATTTCTCTCTTCCGAGACAGTGGGGATTCCCTCAATGCTACATTTACAGAAAGACTCACAGGTTTTTGGACGTAGAAGACTTGTTAATTGAACCGGCAAAACATCGATAATTTACCGCAAAAAATGACTTTTGCTTTCTTGGTAGTGCGCATACATCTAAAACTTGCGAAAGAGGTCAACCGTAGGAATCTGCATGGATGACAATCATGTGTTCTCTGTGCGTTGATGCGCGTATAGTACTTAGTCACGCCAAGTTAGCAGCCATGGTTCCCTCTTTTGTCCTCGATCCGTTTCAACTTCTTTTAAATAACCTAAGCGATGAACTACACGAAAGGAATCTACACAGCCTTATACATGTTTGTGGAGATCTCATTCCTGGCGCCCAACGCGAAAGAATCACCACCGGCTGGGATGCATTCACCATTTTACGGCAACGCAACGTGATCGGAAGCGAACCCGAAAAGATGAAGAACTTGCTTGCAATCATCAAGGAACTGAGACCCAACAGAAAAGATTTGGTCCTCAACATTAAGCGGCATATTCAGGACAATTACCAAGAACCAGACTTGATATTGAATGATCTGGATTCAAGTTCCGATAGTCCTCTGCCATTCTGCGTGATTTCCAGACCCCCAACATCAACGCCTCACATACCTCAAGAAGATTGTTGTCGTATACACTGTTCAGGTTTGGCTTGCAGTTGCAATCCATGTTGTGGTGCTTGCTGTTGCTGTGTCATCTTGGCAATACTATTTACCTTACTCGCCCTCGTAACTCTCACGGCATGGTCGTTAGCAAGCAAGGATGAACGCTCTGATCATGAAATATCACACGAAGCCGTGCCATGTGTCGTCGGTGCTTTTGGATTCCTCGCGGTCTGCAGTGTTATCAGTGTCATTTACATCAGATATTGCAGGCCAAGAGATCAGCTGAATTATACAATGCTACCAACCACTCTCGATATGAGAACTAATCTAGCAAGCTACGCCACCTCTGACTCTTTGCGTACCAGCTATAACTCAATGGGGCAGAGAATAGAGAGTCCAAGATACGAGTGTTCCTGCAGTCAGTCGGGGCAGAATACAGCTTCAAGCTCGCTGACTTCTAGGGCATCGTCAGTACCGAGTCATCCTCTGCTTCCAGACGACATCGTTCCAGATGGCTTCCCGTGGGACGACTACCCTGAATTTTTCCATCAGAATGTGCAAGACGAAGAAGTCAATTTGCTCGAGGTCTAACCTCAATGACAAGGGAGGCAAACGAGAGAGAGGGAGAGAGAGAGAGAGAGAGAGAGAGAGAGAGAGCCTGGGATCAAGGTTGAATGCCTGGTAATATTCATTCTCTTGCCTTCGTGGGCCGGTTTTTAACACGATACATGAATCGAAAGAGGTTTACAAATAACAAATTAACATCCACGGACCTGCTTTGTGAACTGTTTGATTAAGGTTTTAATTAGACCTGTAGATAATTCAACTGGCGGAGTTCTCCTGTATCCCGCGGGTTTCGGGACATTTTGCTTGGCAAGATTGTGTGCATTCGGAAGAACTGTTTCAAACGATTGCCAAGCTACAAACACCCTGTGTGATTTAAAACTTGTAAATTCCTTTGTTCTTTTCTTTTACTTTTGTTTCTGTTCTTATATTCTTTTTACATCACTTGCAAACTGATAGGATATATATATACAATGGCCTTCATTTGGCGCGAAAATATGCTCTAATATTCGTCCGCAGACCGAACAGTTTTCAGAGAGCGGATATTTTCGCACCAAATGAAGAGTATTGTGTTGATTATCCTTCAAATATTTGTCGCAACACGCGCAGTTTTGAAAATTGGGGAATATCGGAGTGATATTCCCCAGTTTTTTCAGTTACGTGACGTGTTTGGACCAATCGCGCACGAGCGAAAATATGAATGTAGATATGTATGAATGTGAATATAGAAAGTTGTGTATATATGAATGTAGAAAGTTATGAATGATGTCTATAATAGTAATTATTTAATCTCCCACGAACTGTTTAAGCAGAAAAGCGCTAGTTATTCATTAAGAAACATTGATTTTGATATTCCTACTTTTAACACTATTAACTATGGAAAACATTCTATTAGATATCAAGGACCTCATATATGGTCGAAACTAGATAATAAATTGAAAGGCTCCTCGAATATTGAATCTTTTAAAAACAACACTAGGAAAAAAGACCTAACGTCACTCTTAAACAACAATAGCTGCTGTAACCTTTGCAATTCTTAGAGACTACCTCTTATATACCCATTGTTTTATTGTACAATTTATACATGCTAATTGTATGTACATTTTTATTATTCCTTATTTGTACATAATTTAAGTTTTTTTGTTGTGACTCCGATTAGTTCTGAAAACTAAATACATTGACACATTAATAAAGCTTTTACTTACTTTACTAGTACGCGCGCTGTAATTGGTCAATTAAGCGGGCCTACTCTACTGTACGGCCCGCTAAAATGTTGCCATAATGTTTCGTGATTTATCGCCAAGTGATCTTAACTTTTTTAGCAAAAAAAGTTCAAAACTTTAACCTCTGAAGTTGTGTATTAAAACGAGCTAACCACTTCAGAGTCACTCAGCGATTCAAATTGACTCGTTTTGCTTTCGAGGTGCGTCAGAAATTTGAAGCTGTTCCGCGTGAATAGAAATCATTCCCGAACCCGTCAGACGCACAGTAGAGATATAACAAATATCTTACTAACCTCGTTTTCTCGGTCCTTACTGTAAGTTACGGATGCTCGTTTTTCCCCTTCGATTTATGGCGCGCGCGCGCTTCGTGCTTGGGCCATAAATCGATGGTGAAAAAATTCAGTCCGTAACTTACAGCACAGCCCTCGATCTCGGTAAGAGGTATTTATTTGATACCGATTTTGTTACATAATTTAACACTTATACAGTATCTACCTATGTATGTATTTATGTAACGGTATCAAAACCAGGATAAGAGGACAATCTCGCTAGCTTGACCCCCCCCAGGGGGCCAGGGCAAAAAATGAAAGTGAAGTATTAACCTGTTATAAACATTCTGTGAATGGTCACTGCTTTCACCATTTGCACGGATCTGGCGGGGGGGAGGGAGGTACTCCCTACAATGGCCTGTACGGGGAGGCTCCACCCGAAAAGAGTACTTCTCTGTCAAAATGGCATATAAAAGGGTAATGGGTTGGACCTCAGGGCGGAGCCTCCTGTATAGAACTTCGTGAGCCTTCTTTGACTAATTGTAACCGTTCACGTACATTGAACATGGTTGCTGACAAGGACAAGGTTGAAGATGGATGGTTAGGCTTGATTGCCTGCCACTGTGCGAGAAAGGAGCCTGTGCTCATTCCCTCGATATGCCTTACCACTGATGTTTCCGGACCTCTCCCTTGGAGAGGAACCTAGACCGGACTGGAGTGAGCGTCAGAAATCGAGCTTAATGGGTAGTTGGAGACCAAGGACAAGGAAAGACCTCATTTCTTCCTTTCCTTTTGGTCAAAAAGAGATTTTTAATCAAAGCAGGCTAGTAAATCAGTCGTTAGAGAGTCACTTTAAAGAATTACAGTCCACAAAAATCACATCAAGTGTAAATCATTTAATTATGAAACAATACCAAATGAAATAAAAGCAATAAAAGCAACTTATCTAATGCCTCTAGTGCAACATTGCTGTTAAAAATCATGCCCCTATCTATTCTAGACATTGTTCTGAATATTTTCAAACTTCTCATACACTACTTCTACTCAGAAAAGTTGGGTATACTTTTTCTTGGTTTCAAAACATCAGTCCCAGCTTGAAAGGCAAATAACGCAGTTATACATGGCTCTACATGATCCTCTTTTTTTTATTTTAAGTTAATAAACAAAAAACAAACAAAAGTCCTGACTACATGGCCACAAATGACTTTGAAATTTGCCAATTTTCCTGCAAGAATTTAGTTTAGTTTCAGTAGGGTGGGACAGGGGGACAGTACCTTGGGGGTTAAGGGAGGGGGGGAATCAGCAGTCCTGAAGTGAGAGGAGAATTTGCTAAGTAGCTTAAATCCGCATAAGGGGCAAGTAGCCAATCAGGTTGGTGCCTATCTCTGGTTTCCGTAGCATGAAGCAACTAGGAGTATATCTATTCTCCCCTGGATGGGATGCTAGTCCATCGCAGGGTTACCTCCCAGCCTTAAATTCACTGCTATCCGGTGGAGAGAGGCTATGTGAGAGTTAAGTGTCTTGCCCAAGAACACAACACAATGTCCCTGGTCAGGGCTCGAACTCGGACTGCTCAATCCGAAAGTGAGAGCACTAACCATGAGGCTACTGTGTCTCACCAAGTGCGACTGAAAAGTGTTTCAACACTTGATAATATTTTGCAAAAAAAGTGTACCAAAGATGTAAGCACCACTCAGTAAGAGGTAGCAACAGATAGTAATGGATACAGGAAACATGAAGTACACACCCCCTGTCCCCCCGTCCCCCACAGTTAAACAAGTTTAGTGTTTCAAAATGTCAAGTTACAGTAGTCCTTTCACATGTCACTTAAAAATTTAGTAACAGCCTGCTCCACACGGTCCTCTATGATGGCTTAAGCAGTCTTGGCAAAACCCACACGATTGTTTTCCATGTCGAACACAGTGTAATATGGGCCAATGAATACATCTCCCAGAATCCACAGCGGACCAGCAGGAGCAGGAATGTCAATACCCAGAAATCCGCTAAGGCATTCAGTCTGTCCCATCACCGTCACCTATGAACAAATCACTTCATTGTTAATTTGATGTACTAGTACAAATATATGAGCACTGATACACTTCTGAGTGTGCATTGGATATGTAGCCAGCAAGGCACATAGCGCTGAGTTGGGTATAATCATGTCACATCCAACAAGCGTGAGTGAAATAATTGTTTTCTCAAAAACACCCCCAAAATATAGAAAAATATGATAAAATAAAAGTGCCCAAAAAATTATGTGTACATTAACCATATTATTTTGTAGAGCATGGTATTATTACGACAATGAAAACTCCTGAATTGCATTATCCAAAGAGCCAGTATTAATAATGGTAATAAGAATAACAATAATAATAATAATAATAATAATAATAATAATAATAATAATAATAATAATAAATCAACCTTCAAAGTATCAAGTCTTTACATAGAATCTTCACAAAAAATAACAAAAAAATATTTACATGTCTTATAAATGATCAATAGTTGGAAGCAAACCTTGAGAACATAGTCCTTTCCAGTCAGCGTGAACTTCTTTCCAGCAAGGATAAAGTCGATTGCAGGGAGAGAGTCAATTTTGCTGCAGTCAATTATGTACTGAAATCGACAAAGGAGGAGAGACAAGTGTTTTTACGTGTTTAACCTACTGTTGTATCATGTGGGTGGGACCATGACTACACTGTATGTAATTGTAAGTTTCTGCTAGTGGTTAAAAATTCTGTGTCCGGGATGTTAGCCACATTCAGACATGAGAAAATTGCCACCAGATTGAGTGAAATATACAAAATAACCACTGAAGACATAAATAAAAATACAAAAATAAAAATAAAAATTCCCTGACCAAATAAATACAAAATGTCAGATACAAAAGCTGCTTCTAGCCTCATTTTACAGCCATCCTTTCCACTATTTCATTAAGACTGATAAGTTAATTTCAACAAATTTTCCTTCTTCATTAAGTAAAAATATCATTGAGATCACGGTGACTCCAAATGTTTCTTCCAGCCCTCAATGGTATTAAATCAGCCATGCTAAATCATTTCAATCAATTTTCCCTAACTTTTCATCAAAATGTCAATTTTCCCTGACTCAAAATAAAATTCCTTGACTTTTCCTTGCTCTTGAACAATTTTTTTCCCCTGACCATTTCCTGACCTGTGGCAACACTGCATGTACATTACAGGAGTGTCATTAAGTCAGAAGACACCTACCTCACCACCAACAAGAGGAGTTGCACCAATCATGGCATTCAACTTCTTAATTTCAGCTGTAGGCCCACCAATGAGTGATGTACCAGTGTCAGCAATGGCCTGGCAACCGCCTTGACAAAAGCTAGTAGTGCCATTCATCGCCACGCTAAAAACACAGATTTGAATTGAATTTTAGTGACGGAAAATGTACATGTAAATTACATTGGGGTCCTATCACAACAGGGCACTTAAAAGATGCCAAGAGTCACTGATTCGCAAACCATAAGTCAACTGATGCCATATTTCTTGATTTACATGGACCTTGATTTCTTGTTCACTGTAATTCATTAATGTAATAGAAGGGCAGAATGAGAATACATGTACATGTGCAAAGTGGGTGGCCAATGGTCCAACAAAAAATATGCAACTTGCAGAATTTTGGTCAAATTTCACAGGTCTCATCTCAATTTCTTTACAAAGCTGAGAAAGTCTCAGGTGTACATCAATGATATCACAAGTACTGTACATGTAGTCTTGCCATTTAACAAAGGTCTGATTTCACTACCAAAACAGTTAATCCAGAGACCTAGTTTAGCTTACCCATCCATCTTAAACTGCCAGTAACCCTTCTTAGACACAGGAACATAAGTGAAGTCACCAGTGTAGTATTTGGGATCAGTGCCACCAAAGATCAGTTCACCTCCAGGGGAGCCAGATGCGTCCCTGAAAAAAAAAAACCAGTAAAACAAAACAAATTGAACTTGGCCTATCCAGAATTTGAATGAAAGGGTCACTTATAAAGCAGCAAAGTTCTATCACTGCAGTTGCACCCAGCTACATGTAATACAAAATCAATTCCCTGTTATGCAAGTGTCAAATGTATTTGGCACTGTTGTGGTAATTGGGGACACTGTAAATAAATAAACAAATATTGTAAATAGAACATAAACTATTATAATATTAGAATCAAAACTGGTGGGAAGCTGACCAGTTGGCTATTTACACCACACAGTCAGGGAGTTGAACTCGGAATTACCACAAACAAAACCAGATAGTGGTGGGGTTGAAAATTTGAACCAGGGACCTCCAGATTTCAAATCCAGCACCCTCAACCACTCTGCCACACTGCCTCCTTCAACCTCCTTGAAGAACACACTTGTCCAACTCTTAAACAGTTGAACCTCTGCTAACTGACATGTTTCACAAGCAGAAACATTGCTTGCGAGGACAACGCATGTATTTCAGGTCCCAATGGTATCTACATACTGGATGTTGACAAATTATTATTCCATTTGGCCTTACATTACACATGCAACTAGTCTTTAATTACAAATGTATGTCACAAAAAATAAGAACATTTGAACAAACCTGTTCAGATAAAAGGAGAAAACAGGTTTCTCTACAAGTTTTTCTTGGACCATGTTGTAAAATACTGGTACCACGCCATCCACTGAAATTGTATCGTATCCCATACCGAGGATTCCATCAAATCTGGCAGCAACAAATGCTACCCCTGGTTCACTCATTGCCTCGGCAAATGTTTGGTGTTTCACAGTCAAGCCAGCAATCTACCACATAAAGAAAAACAAAATACTTTTGAAAACATTAAAATCTAGTTCTTGACATTTATTCACACTACCACCATCTATGCACTGCTGGACTCGACAACGTCTTGTGTTTCATGCAGCTTTGCCGTTACAATGTAGATTCGTAACTTCTTGTGGCTTCTTGTGCTTAGTCAAAGACATTAAACTCTTGCATTTCCAAAAGTTCTTGTGGCACAAGAACTTCTTGCGCCACTTTTTACACATGCATTATTTTTGGGCTGTACTGTGCACTTAGCCAGATGGCTGGTGATTTTGACTAGGTAGGAAGGCCAATAACTTGGGACTTCAGAGTGCAAGGGGCTCCACCTACTATACAACCAGTATAGGATGCATGAGCGAAACTCCTCACAGGAACTGTCTCTCTTAGGACAATAAAGGGTGCTGGAAACTGTTTTTAGGAAAGGTTCCAAAGTTGTAACGCTGTGAGATGCAATTTCCTGGATTTTCTTTGCACTTAGTTTTCAAGTTCTGAATCAGCCAACCAACGCACTTTGCAAAACATTTATACATCATTAGCAGTCACATTTTTACATAACTAGATAATGCAATTAAAATAGACAACGATAACAGTGGGAAAGGGACAAATTTTATGTAGTAGGAGCTTCTAGTTCTGGTCAATTGATGAGCAGGAGAGGTGCTGTGTGAGTCAAGCACCTCGTCCAAATAGAGATAATAACCCAAATAATATTTTATACTACAAGCGTGATAATAGTTTTATATACCTCCACATTATCTGTGCTCAAGAACCCCTTCATGCTTCCACTACCATATCGGATTTCAAAGTCAGTTCCGTTTTTCTCGTATGTGGATGACTTGGTACTGTCATACTTGTTGTGCAACACTGAGAAGACATTAATTTTTGATATTTTTTTAAGTACAAGAAACAAAGCAAAATAAGGATATAGTGATCTACAAATGCATGCAGGTAATTTCTCTTGACTTTGATCTACAAACATCTTTAATAACTTAATAGAGAATTTCTCTAGAATGTCTCAGTGTAGGTTTATGGACATTACAGGACTAGCTTTATAGGAGGAACTAAATACAATACACTAAACAATAAATCATTGTGTTAACATGAAACAATTGTTATTCAATGCATGTTAGTCAGTAAGGAAAGCAATTCCTCAAATGAGCTTCATGTACATATTATTAGATGTTTCAACACCTACACCTTGCAAAATCTGACCATACATATCAACAGGTTTAATATGAAAATGACTGACTGAGCTTTTGTTCGGGGGAGAATACAGATGCTGTAATAACGAGGTGACCGAATGAACGGGGTTGCTGTAAGGCGGGGTTCCACTTTACCACAAACCTTAAGAACATTGTTAGTGTACTGGGATACATGTATATTCTTTTATCGACGAGAAATGAATTGTAATGGTAAGCAAAGAGCTATCTTCCAGATAAAAACAGGCTCAACATATCAATCCCTTAACTGTGGGCTTCAAAAAGTTTAGATTATAAGTAGAAATGGTTCAAATTTCAAATGGTACAATGTAACTTACAACAAGCAATGTCAGACCAAGGACACTTCTTGGAAGGGACCCACAAATTAGAGGAGCCGGTATCAAACACAACTTTGAATGGCTGTCCTGGAGTGCCAATATCTATGCTTCCATAGTACTGTGCATCAAGATAGTTTGACAGTGGTTCAGGGTCACCGTACTGTGTTGTGTATTTGTAGTTCCTTTGCTGTGCTTTCTCCAACAGACCCTTCTGTGTAATTCCAACCTCACGAAGAGTATCTCGGATTGATTGAAATTTTGTCAATGGGACCCTGCAAGAATAGTGAAGCAATCACATTAAGCAAATAAAAAGTTGGAACTTTCAGTTGGAAAGTTCATGACAATTTCCAAATTCTGCAGTGTTCAAGCCCTCATTATCATTTTAGATGCAACAAGGCTCATAGCTGCAAGCACTTTTAAACTCTACTCTGTACGACTAAAAGCTTCTCACCTTGGATAGGGCTCGCATACAGCATGACCATGAAACTTACCTACTTCTTTCTCCATACCTAGCATGTTCTTAGTGTACCTCTAAATAACAATTTGCCATTACCCTGGCAGGGATATTTTGCAGAACGTTGAATGTCAAACGTACTGCTTCCTTCTGGTTATTTTCAACCAGGTTTTCTTGCAGTTAGCTTTTATTTGTTGGAAAGGGCCAATTACAGTGTAATTGCTCTCCTCTGGGTGTGGAAGTTCACATTACAGTCTGGCAAACTTCAACTGAGTGATGCAAATCATACAACCTGTGATACCCAATGAGATGCAATGTTTTTCCATAACATGCACTTGTTTAGATGCAAACAACTAAAATACAACTGCTTAAGTTGTGTATATAACTGTGATAATAAGTTGTGTATATAACTGCGATGATCAATCATGTCTTCATATCTTTCTCTGCAGTTCAAATATATGATCTTTCAGATACTGTATTCATAAGTTTGCAAAATTGCATCTGTAAGCTAACATGCCGGCTTACACAGCCTGGGAGCAATGTTCTCCACAGAAATTTGACTACTCCTAATTCCATGTTAAAAGAAGTCAAACTATCAGAAACAGCATTGTGAAACTCGCGTTTTCGTTTAAGAGAAAAGCCTATGAACTCTATTTCCTTGTTTTGGGACTGAAGCAGGTTTTCACTTTTTCACAGCAGGAATCTGAAACTAGTAGTTTTTCACTTTCTTGCATATTGGGAAACAAATTCACTGAAAGTCTTCCCAAATACATTGAGCTTTACAGCAAGAGGTACTGCACTTAACAAAATGTACAAAACATGTAAGGTATTTCGTACATGCTTACGAACTGCACAAACAAATGAGCTCAATCCAAGTTAGAGCAGAGAATGAAACTTTCATTCAGACACTGAAAGAAACGGGAAGTTAATGGAGCATAGAGCAGTAGAAAAATCGAAAATTTGTGGGGTTAATAAACTTCCACGGAAATAAACTTAACATCCCATGTGTAATTAAACCAAAAGATCGACAAAGAACTCTTCGCTTTGTGTTCACTAAAAAATTTCCATACACAACGCTTCCTCTAGCTCTGACGAGAAGACAAATACAAATACCGGGCAAACAGCCTGGGTGTCTATCTGATCTCTTAATTCATGCTTTCAGATCATTGNAATAATAATAATAATAATAATAATAATAATAATAATAATAAATCAACCTTCAAAGTATCAAGTCTTTACATAGAATCTTCACAAAAAATAACAAAAAAATATTTACATGTCTTATAAATGATCAATAGTTGGAAGCAAACCTTGAGAACATAGTCCTTTCCAGTCAGCGTGAACTTCTTTCCAGCAAGGATAAAGTCGATTGCAGGGAGAGAGTCAATTTTGCTGCAGTCAATTATGTACTGAAATCGACAAAGGAGGAGAGACAAGTGTTTTTACGTGTTTAACCTACTGTTGTATCATGTGGGTGGGACCATGACTACACTGTATGTAATTGTAAGTTTCTGCTAGTGGTTAAAAATTCTGTGTCCGGGATGTTAGCCACATTCAGACATGAGAAAATTGCCACCAGATTGAGTGAAATATACAAAATAACCACTGAAGACATAAATAAAAATACAAAAATAAAAATAAAAATTCCCTGACCAAATAAATACAAAATGTCAGATACAAAAGCTGCTTCTAGCCTCATTTTACAGCCATCCTTTCCACTATTTCATTAAGACTGATAAGTTAATTTCAACAAATTTTCCTTCTTCATTAAGTAAAAATATCATTGAGATCACGGTGACTCCAAATGTTTCTTCCAGCCCTCAATGGTATTAAATCAGCCATGCTAAATCATTTCAATCAATTTTCCCTAACTTTTCATCAAAATGTCAATTTTCCCTGACTCAAAATAAAATTCCTTGACTTTTCCTTGCTCTTGAACAATTTTTTTCCCCTGACCATTTCCTGACCTGTGGCAACACTGCATGTACATTACAGGAGTGTCATTAAGTCAGAAGACACCTACCTCACCACCAACAAGAGGAGTTGCACCAATCATGGCATTCAACTTCTTAATTTCAGCTGTAGGCCCACCAATGAGTGATGTACCAGTGTCAGCAATGGCCTGGCAACCGCCTTGACAAAAGCTAGTAGTGCCATTCATCGCCACGCTAAAAACACAGATTTGAATTGAATTTTAGTGACGGAAAATGTACATGTAAATTACATTGGGGTCCTATCACAACAGGGCACTTAAAAGATGCCAAGAGTCACTGATTCGCAAACCATAAGTCAACTGATGCCATATTTCTTGATTTACATGGACCTTGATTTCTTGTTCACTGTAATTCATTAATGTAATAGAAGGGCAGAATGAGAATACATGTACATGTGCAAAGTGGGTGGCCAATGGTCCAACAAAAAATATGCAACTTGCAGAATTTTGGTCAAATTTCACAGGTCTCATCTCAATTTCTTTACAAAGCTGAGAAAGTCTCAGGTGTACATCAATGATATCACAAGTACTGTACATGTAGTCTTGCCATTTAACAAAGGTCTGATTTCACTACCAAAACAGTTAATCCAGAGACCTAGTTTAGCTTACCCATCCATCTTAAACTGCCAGTAACCCTTCTTAGACACAGGAACATAAGTGAAGTCACCAGTGTAGTATTTGGGATCAGTGCCACCAAAGATCAGTTCACCTCCAGGGGAGCCAGATGCGTCCCTGAAAAAAAAAAACCAGTAAAACAAAACAAATTGAACTTGGCCTATCCAGAATTTGAATGAAAGGGTCACTTATAAAGCAGCAAAGTTCTATCACTGCAGTTGCACCCAGCTACATGTAATACAAAATCAATTCCCTGTTATGCAAGTGTCAAATGTATTTGGCACTGTTGTGGTAATTGGGGACACTGTAAATAAATAAACAAATATTGTAAATAGAACATAAACTATTATAATATTAGAATCAAAACTGGTGGGAAGCTGACCAGTTGGCTATTTACACCACACAGTCAGGGAGTTGAACTCGGAATTACCACAAACAAAACCAGATAGTGGTGGGGTTGAAAATTTGAACCAGGGACCTCCAGATTTCAAATCCAGCACCCTCAACCACTCTGCCACACTGCCTCCTTCAACCTCCTTGAAGAACACACTTGTCCAACTCTTAAACAGTTGAACCTCTGCTAACTGACATGTTTCACAAGCAGAAACATTGCTTGCGAGGACAACGCATGTATTTCAGGTCCCAATGGTATCTACATACTGGATGTTGACAAATTATTATTCCATTTGGCCTTACATTACACATGCAACTAGTCTTTAATTACAAATGTATGTCACAAAAAATAAGAACATTTGAACAAACCTGTTCAGATAAAAGGAGAAAACAGGTTTCTCTACAAGTTTTTCTTGGACCATGTTGTAAAATACTGGTACCACGCCATCCACTGAAATTGTATCGTATCCCATACCGAGGATTCCATCAAATCTGGCAGCAACAAATGCTACCCCTGGTTCACTCATTGCCTCGGCAAATGTTTGGTGTTTCACAGTCAAGCCAGCAATCTACCACATAAAGAAAAACAAAATACTTTTGAAAACATTAAAATCTAGTTCTTGACATTTATTCACACTACCACCATCTATGCACTGCTGGACTCGACAACGTCTTGTGTTTCATGCAGCTTTGCCGTTACAATGTAGATTCGTAACTTCTTGTGGCTTCTTGTGCTTAGTCAAAGACATTAAACTCTTGCATTTCCAAAAGTTCTTGTGGCACAAGAACTTCTTGCGCCACTTTTTACACATGCATTATTTTTGGGCTGTACTGTGCACTTAGCCAGATGGCTGGTGATTTTGACTAGGTAGGAAGGCCAATAACTTGGGACTTCAGAGTGCAAGGGGCTCCACCTACTATACAACCAGTATAGGATGCATGAGCGAAACTCCTCACAGGAACTGTCTCTCTTAGGACAATAAAGGGTGCTGGAAACTGTTTTTAGGAAAGGTTCCAAAGTTGTAACGCTGTGAGATGCAATTTCCTGGATTTTCTTTGCACTTAGTTTTCAAGTTCTGAATCAGCCAACCAACGCACTTTGCAAAACATTTATACATCATTAGCAGTCACATTTTTACATAACTAGATAATGCAATTAAAATAGACAACGATAACAGTGGGAAAGGGACAAATTTTATGTAGTAGGAGCTTCTAGTTCTGGTCAATTGATGAGCAGGAGAGGTGCTGTGTGAGTCAAGCACCTCGTCCAAATAGAGATAATAACCCAAATAATATTTTATACTACAAGCGTGATAATAGTTTTATATACCTCCACATTATCTGTGCTCAAGAACCCCTTCATGCTTCCACTACCATATCGGATTTCAAAGTCAGTTCCGTTTTTCTCGTATGTGGATGACTTGGTACTGTCATACTTGTTGTGCAACACTGAGAAGACATTAATTTTTGATATTTTTTTAAGTACAAGAAACAAAGCAAAATAAGGATATAGTGATCTACAAATGCATGCAGGTAATTTCTCTTGACTTTGATCTACAAACATCTTTAATAACTTAATAGAGAATTTCTCTAGAATGTCTCAGTGTAGGTTTATGGACATTACAGGACTAGCTTTATAGGAGGAACTAAATACAATACACTAAACAATAAATCATTGTGTTAACATGAAACAATTGTTATTCAATGCATGTTAGTCAGTAAGGAAAGCAATTCCTCAAATGAGCTTCATGTACATATTATTAGATGTTTCAACACCTACACCTTGCAAAATCTGACCATACATATCAACAGGTTTAATATGAAAATGACTGACTGAGCTTTTGTTCGGGGGAGAATACAGATGCTGTAATAACGAGGTGACCGAATGAACGGGGTTGCTGTAAGGCGGGGTTCCACTTTACCACAAACCTTAAGAACATTGTTAGTGTACTGGGATACATGTATATTCTTTTATCGACGAGAAATGAATTGTAATGGTAAGCAAAGAGCTATCTTCCAGATAAAAACAGGCTCAACATATCAATCCCTTAACTGTGGGCTTCAAAAAGTTTAGATTATAAGTAGAAATGGTTCAAATTTCAAATGGTACAATGTAACTTACAACAAGCAATGTCAGACCAAGGACACTTCTTGGAAGGGACCCACAAATTAGAGGAGCCGGTATCAAACACAACTTTGAATGGCTGTCCTGGAGTGCCAATATCTATGCTTCCATAGTACTGTGCATCAAGATAGTTTGACAGTGGTTCAGGGTCACCGTACTGTGTTGTGTATTTGTAGTTCCTTTGCTGTGCTTTCTCCAACAGACCCTTCTGTGTAATTCCAACCTCACGAAGAGTATCTCGGATTGATTGAAATTTTGTCAATGGGACCCTGCAAGAATAGTGAAGCAATCACATTAAGCAAATAAAAAGTTGGAACTTTCAGTTGGAAAGTTCATGACAATTTCCAAATTCTGCAGTGTTCAAGCCCTCATTATCATTTTAGATGCAACAAGGCTCATAGCTGCAAGCACTTTTAAACTCTACTCTGTACGACTAAAAGCTTCTCACCTTGGATAGGGCTCGCATACAGCATGACCATGAAACTTACCTACTTCTTTCTCCATACCTAGCATGTTCTTAGTGTACCTCTAAATAACAATTTGCCATTACCCTGGCAGGGATATTTTGCAGAACGTTGAATGTCAAACGTACTGCTTCCTTCTGGTTATTTTCAACCAGGTTTTCTTGCAGTTAGCTTTTATTTGTTGGAAAGGGCCAATTACAGTGTAATTGCTCTCCTCTGGGTGTGGAAGTTCACATTACAGTCTGGCAAACTTCAACTGAGTGATGCAAATCATACAACCTGTGATACCCAATGAGATGCAATGTTTTTCCATAACATGCACTTGTTTAGATGCAAACAACTAAAATACAACTGCTTAAGTTGTGTATATAACTGTGATAATAAGTTGTGTATATAACTGCGATGATCAATCATGTCTTCATATCTTTCTCTGCAGTTCAAATATATGATCTTTCAGATACTGTATTCATAAGTTTGCAAAATTGCATCTGTAAGCTAACATGCCGGCTTACACAGCCTGGGAGCAATGTTCTCCACAGAAATTTGACTACTCCTAATTCCATGTTAAAAGAAGTCAAACTATCAGAAACAGCATTGTGAAACTCGCGTTTTCGTTTAAGAGAAAAGCCTATGAACTCTATTTCCTTGTTTTGGGACTGAAGCAGGTTTTCACTTTTTCACAGCAGGAATCTGAAACTAGTAGTTTTTCACTTTCTTGCATATTGGGAAACAAATTCACTGAAAGTCTTCCCAAATACATTGAGCTTTACAGCAAGAGGTACTGCACTTAACAAAATGTACAAAACATGTAAGGTATTTCGTACATGCTTACGAACTGCACAAACAAATGAGCTCAATCCAAGTTAGAGCAGAGAATGAAACTTTCATTCAGACACTGAAAGAAACGGGAAGTTAATGGAGCATAGAGCAGTAGAAAAATCGAAAATTTGTGGGGTTAATAAACTTCCACGGAAATAAACTTAACATCCCATGTGTAATTAAACCAAAAGATCGACAAAGAACTCTTCGCTTTGTGTTCACTAAAAAATTTCCATACACAACGCTTCCTCTAGCTCTGACGAGAAGACAAATACAAATACCGGGCAAACAGCCTGGGTGTCTATCTGATCTCTTAATTCATGCTTTCAGATCATTGGCCAATCTATTAAGCAGAGGAATCTTACCTTAGAGCAGCCTGAGAAAGGCCTATTAGGAAAAGAGCTACGAAGATAACGGAAAATTGCATGATTGAATTCGTGAACCAAGGAGACTGAATAACAAGTGTGAAAAGCGCTTTATATGCCAAACCACGTGATAGGCGGCAAGCATCACAACTTTGTCACGAGACATGGCCTACGTCATTCAAATTACTCAATAACACATCAAAGAACTAACTCCTGAAAATTTAAGACAAATAAAATCAAATAAATATGCTGAGGATCTGGGTTTGTAAGTCATCCCACACGTGAGAAATTGTTTTCGTTTCACAAGTGAGTCAAAAGTTCGCCTGCTCCCAGGATAGGACGGCCTGGATTCTCGTGGGTTCTCGATACCGACGATATCATCCGAGAGTTCTCCGGACTTGCTCCGAAGATTTACGATCATTGTAGTGCCAGTCCTCTATTGTAACTCGATCTAAACAATCATGGCGGCCGCGGAGGTTGTTCGATGGAGTTCAGTTGTCGGTGAATATGGGGTTTTGCTGACTGAAATGGGATCTATGGAGGATCTGCATTCCCCTATAAAGCCATATTCACGAATAAAGGTTTGTGCTGTTACACATGTTTTTATTTTTCAAATTAATAGCGACATGTAGGTGATAAGCATAAGCTTAAGCTTGTATCAGCGGCTCCCCACTAGGCCCGACAAGGGCGATTTGATGATAAATACCGAGGGGTGACAGGGAACTCTCACCTCTGGCTTTGGGGCCAATGCTTGGCTACAGGGTGCCAGTGAGGCCTGGCGGGGCACTGCCATATATGGGCTATATAGGTATGTGCCGCTGTGAAGGGTATGGTTTTCAAGCAGTTTACTCTAGGATAGGGTATATAGATCAGAGCGTTTGGGTCTAGAATAGGGTATCATTTTTCCCAAGACTGACTGGTTGGTTGAAGATTTTATCTAGACTAAGGAAACCAGGAATTTCCACTCAAAGATATAAAAAAAATCAAAGTGGCAAGTTTAAATTTAGGCAAATCAGCCTCAATAGTGTCGATAGATGGGGGGATTTGGGGAGTTTACTCTAGTTAGGGTAGCAAAATTCAGCTGAACTAGCTCTGGTATAGGCTAAGGGTTCCAGGGTCCCAGCGGCACATCCCCACCCAGAAATTCCCAAAGT